TTAGGGTTCTAGAAAGGGCTCTCAATTTGCAACCCGGGTCTGCTTGTGAGTGGCTGTGACACTGGGAAAGGGACTCCACCCGGTCGCTCTAGCTGGGTGACAATAACTCCCTTATAGGCCAGTGAGGCATGAGCTTTAAGGGGTGTCTTAGCTAGTTTTCTGATGCTATAAGAGAATACCAGAGCCTGGACAATTTATAAAGGAAAGAAGTTTATTTCTCACAATTCTGGAGGCTGGGAGGGTCTCAGCATATGGCAAAGATATCGAGGCCAGATAGCAGTGGAAAAGCACGTGGAATTGTTAGCAGCAGCCCACACCCAAGATAATTAACCTACTGCAACAATAAGGCCTTCATCTTCCTAGTCATGTTCTAAGGTCCTACCGCTTCCCACCATTACCAGGACATTCACATCATGGCGAGGAGGTAACAATTCCAAAATGCTTGGCTGGTTACAAGGTTAACAGATGCTAGTGATCAAAATGACTTCTATTTCCAGCCCAGACACTGCCAGCTTCCAAAGGCAGTGGCCCATTGGTTGAGAGATGAAGGTTAGACAGTGACGTACAGTGAAGGATAAGTCTTATAAGAGTACAGAAGGAGAAGGAGACCAGGGTTAACTTCCTCCAAATACTACGAGGTTTCATGAGGTATGTTCTAAGCTGAAAAGATAACAGAAATAACAGGCCTCTGGGCAGTATTATCTATCTAATCTGAAGGGATCAGCTACCACCAGTCACAGATGGCTACCACCATCAATATCATCCATCCTTCCATCCATCCATCCTCATTTAGTGAGAGCCTGGAGTGTTCCAGGCCACAGACTAGATGCTATTTTCAGCCCAAATCCACTGAGCAACAGACTCACACACTTATCAGTATTCTGGGGGTGGCACTGCACTTGGCTGGACCTGCATGCTCCAAACCAAACCTCCTGTCCTCTCTTCACGTCAGTTCACATCAGAGTTCTCCATTCAGCTCCCCACATCAGAGATCTCAGACTCTACCGGCATCCTCAGCCCGCTCAACCCACTCTCTGTCCATACCAAGTCTCCTGAACCTCCTCTCCTTCTTCCATAGCACAACCTACATATGGGGTATGTGTTTCTGGTTGCTGCTGTGACAAACACCACAAACTTGGTGGATTAAAACAGCAGACAATCCTCTTACAGTTGTGGAGGCCAGAGGCCAAAATCAGTCTCACTCGGCTGAAGTCAAGGTGATGAGGCTCCTTGCTGCCTCCTGCATTCCTGAGATCCTGATCAGAGCCTGGAGATGCCCAGATGTTGTCATTCAGCCTGTCACGCAAGGTCTTTGTCATCTTTCTCTCGGTGACTGCAGCAGTTACTAACAACCCTCCCTGATATATCCTTTTGGAGGCAGCCAGAGTAGTTGTCTGAAAGCTTCAGGGCTACTGTGTTTGCTGCTCTTCTGGCCAGAATGCTTTTCCAGGCTCTTCTCATGATGGGTCCTTTCCCATGGGAGGATTTCTTGGGCAGTCTTTCCTGATTATTCTATTTCCATAAGTTCTCCCCCTTTATCATTTTCCATCATATAAATGTATTTATTTCACCTATACTATTTACACTTACTGTAATTACCTACCTTCCTGCCTTCCCTCCATGCTGGGAATGGAACCCAGAGCCTTCTGCATGCTAAGCAAGCACTCTACTTAGCTCAAACTCCAGCCACACTGCCTTCACCCTCACTAGAATATAAGCCTCAAGAGTGGCAGGACCTTTTCCAGGTCATTTACTGCTGTTTCCTCTCTGCTTAGCATAATGGCTGGCAGGTGGCAAGGCGCCTGTGGAAGGCAGAACAATAGCCCCAAAGATGTCTACCTCCTAGCTCCTAGCAACATGCAGGTCTAATCCTAATCGCCTGTGAGCATGTTAGGTTACATGGCAAGGGGCAATGAAGGTGGCAGGTGGAATTAAGATTGCCAATCAGTTGACTTCCAGTTAAGAAGATCCTGGATAATCTAGGGGACTCAGTGCCTTAAAAGTGGAGGAAGTCCACTCCCTCTGCCGCCAGTCCCTGGCACGTCTACAACACTATACCAGGGACTATTCTGGTGCAGTGACCATGCCTTGATGACACGGGTGTCCTCAGCACTGAGCACTAGGCCTAGCATATCACAGGAGATGCAAATGCTTGCTGAGAGTTCCAGACATCTGTGTTCTGTGCGCCCTGGCCCAGGCGTGCCCAGAAGACAAACAGGATAGACGGACTTCCTCCTGCACCCGGAGCTGCCTCTGTGCTTCCCAGCTTGGTCATGGGTTGGCTCCTTTCTCAGCCTCAGTTACCTTCTAGCAGGTTGCCCGGAACCCACATGTGGTGGGCTGAATAGTGTCCACCCGAGTGCCCACACACCCCAACTCTCAGAACGTGACCTTATTTGGAAATGAGTGTCTTTGCCGATGTATCCGCCTGTAGTTAAGGTGAGGTCATACTGGATGAAGATGGCCCCTAAATCCAAAAACCAGTGTCCCCTTATCAGGATGCTACCTAAAGACACAGAGATACACAGACAGAAGAGGGCGGTGTGAAGACAGAGGCAGGGATTGGGGTAATGCTGCATGCCTGGGTCATCGAGGCTTCCAGAAGACACCAAAAGGCCAGGGGAAGGTGATGATGGACCCCCAGCAGAGCTTTCCCAGATAGCATGGCCCTGTCAGTGTTTTGACTTGGAGGATCTGGCCTCCAAAATAGAAAACACAATCCTGCTGGACTGTCTCCTAGCGTGTGGCCCTTTGTTATGGCAGCCTAGAAAACGCATGTGCTTGGCTCCTGGCTGCTTGTTCCTGTGACTTTGCCCTTGACTTGGGCCGTCAAGGAGACGGGGGAATGGCGTGTTCCACATCCTCGGGGGTGCAGCAGGGAGCCTGGAACTTTGGCAGGAGATGGGCTCTTGGGAATCTTGGCTGGAGGTGGTGTCAAAGCCTTAGGTCGAAGGCAGGAGAGCAATAAGGAAAGGTGGACAAGGAAGTTCTCCAGCCTTAATGTGCCTCAGTTTCCCCCTGAGTACATGGAGGGCTCCCTGCCTTCATGTACCCAGTAGAGGGTCTATGTAAAGACAGCAAGTCTGTGCTTCTTTCTCCTCCTTCGTCTCTACTTTCATTACATTTAAGTACAGAGAAAATAACAGCAGTTTCTCTCTGAAACCCAACCTGTAATGGCATGAATACCAGAGTCAAGCTGTGAAATTAAACACCCCAAAATCACAAATAATAAAATCTCATGTCAGTGCCCGGCCGCAGCAAACTTCAAGAAAACCAAGTTCCTGCTGGGCCTTTTTATTACTTGAGGTATATATGGTCTCTAATTCAAGGCTAAATATAAAACTAAAGCATACACGGCTGGACTTTCAAGTATTTTCAAAACACATTTAATACCTTGCCGTCAAACTCCCAGAATCCGAGCAGCCTGCGCCTTGCACCAGGATAAACAGAAGTCCAGGTGGACCTAACACTGGGGCTTCAAAGGGAGCCTGAAGAGGGGAGGGACGCAGAGGGAGCGGAGCCTGAGGATCGGAAAGCTGCACAGGCTGTCCTCTGCCACCCAGCAGGTGATAACGGAAACCAGCAGAGGCTGGCTGAGGGGCCACGCTGGGACGGCTGCCTCAGAGGGCCGCCTTTGGCCGCAGCTCTGCTCCTGCACCCCAGGGCCAGTGGAAAATAAGAAAAGTTCAATCTGCCTGGCAGACATGAATGGATTCTCTGTTATCCCAGGAATTCTCCACGGAGGAGGCAGCGTCCACAGAGCTGGCTCACTGCTTGGCACTGCCTGGCATTTTGGTCGGTTCGGTCATTGCACAGGGGGAGCCTCGTGTATGCCCAACATGGCTTTGTGCAGGCATTGGCGGACGACAGCCAGCGAGTCACACCACACCAGGGTCCTCACCCCCTAGAATTGTCTGCCATGGGGAGAGGGACCCAAAGAGCAAACGGCCCAGCACAGCTGAGAAATGGGGTCGCAGATTCTTCAAGACTCAGAAGGTGGAGTTCTGGCTCCTCCCGTGGGCCCCATGAGCTTGAGAGTGATCTCCCCACACAATACAGCAGTCACTGTGTCCTGCAACAGCAAATGATGGGGGTACCTAAGATGCCCGGGTGTCGGTGGCCTGGTCAGGCCTGCCATGCATCTGGAGTAGCTGCTCCGGAGGAATCCAACAGGGCAGAGCAGCCTGGACTGAGCCCAGCTGAGCCCCCTGCCCTTCGGGATCCAGGCACTGGATGGGAGGAAAAGCCATCGTAGGCTGGTCCTCCTGTCCCCGCATACCACATCACCTCCACCCCTGGCCACAGAACCAGAGATTTAGCCAGGTGAACCCCAACCCAGATATAAGGAAAGCTAAAAAAAACAGAGTCATTGCTTTCTGCCAGGAGAGTGTGGAGCACTTCGTTACTCAGCAAGAGCTGAACAGAGGAAGTCCCGTGGTTGGTGAACTGCAACCAGCTCTGTAAGGTTCCTGGTGTGCAGCAGGCACCCAGCACATGCTCCTCCCGGTCCTTGTGACAATGGAGTTTGATTGCCTTTCAATTTCATTGCCTATTTTTATACTATGCTGCCTTAAATCATAAATTACAAGCAGCTTATCCATGCCTGATTCTTACTAAGCACTAGGTTTTATTGGGCTCTCAAAGTTGGAAAACGACAAACATGTAAATCAGAGCAGCTCCTCTTTGCTCTTGGGGGGGGAGGGGGAGGGGGAGGAGAGTTCTGCAACGAGGTTCTACACGCAACTGTCTGGCTCCTGATGTCTGCTTCCGGGACTGCAGTGGACACTCCAGGGCGAGCCCGGTGCATTCACCAGGAAGTTTTTAAATGATTTTCTGAGCAGTATCATTTTTCTTTCCTAAACGCCATGGATTTCCGAGCTCTGGTACGTTTCTGCACTAAGGAGAGTAGACAGCTCCCCTGGGCAGGTCTCATTGTGACGTTGTTTTTCAGATCTGCATCTAGAAGAGGTTATGTGACTCACTGATGACCAGCACGCATTCTGGAGCCAGCTGGGCAGCAGCGAGAGCCCGAGCTGTTCACCTCACAGATAAATAGGTGTATTACGGAACCACCGAGAAACTTGGTTTACACCTCTGAGAAAAGGGAATAAACACAGTGTCTCCTTCTAGTTTCCCGGGGAAGATTAAGCTGGATGATGCTTGCGAAGGTCTTAACAGAGAGCCTCCCCAACGTCAGAGCGCCAAATTATCATCTGCTATAATGGTTACCGTTTTGCTTCTGCCATGGCGAGGGCTGTCAGACTTGGCAAATGAAAATACAAGACGCCCAGGGAAATGAGAATTTCAGGCAGACAACAAACAATTTGCTCCTCTGGCACATCCTAACGATTCCACGAGACAATGATTTTACAGTAAGAATCGTCCGTTGTTCTTCTGAGGTTCACGTTTTCCGTGCTGCGGTGGGGGTTGGTTCCCAGGTGACTATTAATGTTATCACAGTGATAACTGACCCCTGTCACCCGAGTGTGTGGTTGCCCAAGAGCCCCCAGTCACACCCTCACTTCTCTGTTTTCTCATCTTCAACAACAATCGTACATCTTTCCCCCTTCCCAGTCTTGCTCTGAACTGCTGGCAATTAAGATAAGCCAGGAGGCTGCTCCAGAAAAGACAGGCTTCGAAACTTTCTGGAAGCCCCATCGCTGCAGCGATTATATAAGCAGCTTTCTACAGCAGAGTCAGGAGGTCCGCTGCAGAGAAGCCTCCATTTGTTCCCCCTCCGAGTTCCCACTGCAGAGCCCCCCTCCTTCCAGGTCCCCCCCACAATCTTTCCACCCCTGAGGTCTGGCTTCATCTGAAGTCGCTCCCCCTACCACTGACTCATTTTTTTCCCACATAATACAGTGCAGTTTATTACATAAGTGATTTATTGCATGCACCTTAATGTATAAGGGGCAAAACTTGTTTAAAATAAATCCAACTGAGAGGATAATCTCTATGGGCAAAATGTACTTCGACTTAATTTCTCTACTGGGTATTACACACTATATAATTGCCTTAAACAGAAGCTGCATACACAAATTTAGCTTGGCACCGATATCTGGCTGCACGGAACACTCAAGTTACATGCTGGGTTTTGCTACAAATCCTTTGCTCCACCAGAAGAAACTCAACGGTATCCCTTAAAGAAATATTCAGCCTGCCTCTCCTGCTGAGATTGGGGGGCAGGGGCGGGGGAGTGGCTGACTGTGTGCTAGACTTTGGGGGGCGAGAGGCCTGTCTTGGGAGAGGAGGCAGAGCTGCCAGCCTATCTCTAACCAGACCTGGCTCCTGCGAGTTCAGCTTCCTGTCCTCTTGTTCAAAAGAGAATTCAGCAGCAAATGACACTGTGGATCTGTCCCTGGCACCGGATATAGGACATGTGTTTAATTAAAGTTGATGGTGGCTTGCCCTTCTTTCTCCTGTAGATTAATTAATTAATGTATTTGTTGACTCCTTCATGCATTTATTCATTCCACAAATACCGGCTGGGCTTCTCTTGGCCCCTGGGCACTGGTGTGTTCTGGGAATATCACAGCAAGCTGCATGCTCTTCCAGCCCATTCCTCCTGGAGGAGATGGTAATAACGAAGTCATCCCTCTGAGGAATACAGTATGACATACCAGGACAGTGTGACAGAGGACAGGTGCGTGGTGCTCTGGGGGACTGGGGGAGGCTGCAGGGGAAGGGGCTTTTAGAGAGTGGGTCAGTTTCTGAGTGCTGCTGTCATAATCACCCCAAACTTGGTAGCTTGAAATGACAAACTTACTTTCTGATCATTCTGGAGGTCAGAAGTCACCAATGGGCCCCAGTGTGGTAAAATTGAGGTAGCAGTAAGGCTACTTCCCCTTCTGGAAGCTCCAGGAGAGAACATGCTGCTTCCTTGCCTTTCTTCCAGCATCTGCAGGTTGCCTGTAGTCCTTGGCTGGCGGTCCTGTCTCCATCTTCACAGCCGACAATGTGGTCCACGCAGGTAATGCAGGGTAACCCCCTGATTTCACAGTTAGCTCATTAGCAAGCTTCTTCCCATCTGTAACTTTTCTTCTCCATTTGCATGAAGCCCAACAGAGTCACAGGTTCTGGGGGTCGGGGTGTGGACATGTTTGGAGCTGTTATTCTGCCTGTCGTAGATGCTATCTAGAGAGGGAGAGGGAGGAAGGAGAATGTTCCGAGTGGAAGTGGAGCAAGTGGAAGCTTCTGAGGTGAGGAGTCTGTACTGCGCCACTCTAGATGCATCTTGGGGAGCCAGAGGGGGGGTGCAGTGCAGAGCAGGTGCTAAGCTGGGCTGGAGAGGTACAGGAGCAGAAGCAGAGTCTTCATCCCAACAGCACGAAGACACCCTTTATATGTCTCATTAGACGGACAAAATACTACACTTTACAGATTTTAAGATTATAGATACCATTATTTTATTTTCTACAAGGACAAAAAGACTGCCAATTAAAGTATGGCACAATGCTTTCTCATCACTTAGCATTTTTATACTTATCACAAGAACACTTGCAGACTTCATTAGGCCTCTGCTTCTGTCATAGGTAGGTCTTGTGTGTACAATATAAATACAAGTGAAAATATCAGTGAGGAAACAATGGTTTAAGGCACTGCATTCCTAACAATTCTTCTCATTAAGGGTCTCTCTCCCCTGAATAACTTTTTATCTCTGAATCACTGATGGCCATGTTCTTCCAGACATGGACATTTTCTGCACAACCAGCTTTCTAAGAAGAAACCCTAAAGACAGCAAAGATGCCGGTCCTGGGCTAGTTCTGCAGTTGTGTTGAGCAAGCTTCTTTTGTCTTCTACTCCCAGGGTCCAAGGTTCCGGTGGTGAGGCCTCTCAAGAATGAAAGGTCCAAGTGGCCAGACCTGCCTGCTCCTCTACTTGGTTCCAGTAGGCTGAGCCCTCTGGCACTACTTCTGGGTCATTCCTGGAAGCTGCAATACCCATCTTTGCTGACACATGGGATATCTCCATACGCTTAGGCATCAGCGAAGGTCTACACCATCCCTGCCTGGCTAAGGAGGACTTCTGGAAAAGCATGGGTCTCAGAGGTGCTGACACGGGAGGATTTCAGAGATGCACCTGAAGGGCAAGGGTCAAGTGAGTGCTTTCCAAAGGTCTTTTGATGAAGCAAGATTTGTTCCCACATTTCAAATTGGAGATGGAAGAGCACGGATGAATAGCAACAACGTAAGAGCCCTGTGTTTATTCTGGGCACAGTCCTGGCCGCTTTCTTGTTAACATCAAAGTTAACTTCTGTGATAGTTAATTGACTGTGTCCACTTGACTAAAAAACACCCAGCTAAATTGGATTGGCATAGTTCTGCATGTGGCTGAAGGGATCTACTGAAGACTGAAGACCCAGCCTGGGTGGGCTTGCTGCCTGAATGGAATAAAGGGAAAGCAAGAAGGAAGACTCGCTTTTGTTTCTTCCGAGGAGCTCCAGTCTTTCCCTTCAGCTTGGACGTCATCTCCTGGCTTCCAGTGCAGACCCCTCGGCCTCCAGTGCAGAGCCTTCAGCCTCCTGATACGGACTCACACCATGGGACACTACAGTGAGCTCCAGGCCTTCGCCCTTCGATGGATCCTTAGGGTCTCCAGCACACAGACAGCTCTTTCGCACTCTTCCACACCTGGCTCTGTGGGTAGCCACTGTAAACCAATCTTGTAAATCCTTGTATTTATAGATCTTGCATTAAATCCATTTTTCCAGTGAGCACTGACTGACCTATCTCCTCACTGGAATTCTGCTAAAGGAGGTGTCATTATTATTATACACATAACATATGGAGAAACTGAGGCTCAACTAAACCAACAAACCCCTCTAACATGAGTGCAAAAACCAACATGTAAACTCAGAGTGTTCAGAAGCCCCATTTTTGTCTGTCCTAGTCCCTATGTGGAAACGTCCTTAAAGCCCTGAACGTCTCAAGGCCTTTCCACAGACATATGTGGCACACCTGCTTGGACAGCAGCAGACACTGCTCTGGGCCCGAGGACAAAGTGGGTAAAGCCCCAGACCTTCCCCCCAAGAAGCTCAGCGTCTCACTGAGAAGGCAGAGCCGAGTCCCAACTTTGGACGGGACTCCAATGAAATGCTAACACACATTTCAACACGTTGCGGTGCACAAGCAGGAGAGAAAACCAAATCCCTGTCTTGCCTGCATTGTGCCATTTCCTTAAAGAATTTGGTGGTGGGGGGGGTGGCTAAACACGAGGCTGCAAGACATGCAGAGATTTCTAGGAAAGCAGCGTGAAATCTGCATAGAAAATCTATTCCGGTCTTTATCCCGGACTGGTTGATGTAACAATTGCTCTCCTCCCTCCAGCCAGCCGAGTATTTCCTTCTAGAGGAATAATAGGAAAAATCGGGTGAGGAGGAGAAAGGGAAGGGAAAAGAAGGAAGGGAAAGGAAAGGACAAAATAAATACTAGCACAATCCGGATCTGTGAGGTTTCACGGTGCGATCAGTAACACAAGGTCACAATGTCAATTTAATAGGCACCATTGTATATACATGCTGTTCTTCAGATGAAAGACAGAAAGGACAAAAGACTGTGAGTGTCTAAAAAGAATAAAATAAAACAAAAATCTGGAGTTGACAGCCCAGAGAAGTCAGGCCCATAAGGATATACAGAGATAATAGTGAACCTAATTTTCTTTTTTTAAAAATTCTGTGGAATGTCAGCAGGACCAGAACAAAAACAGGTGCCAGGAAACCTCTGATTATCTACACACATAACATGGACATTGTCCCTGAAGCTGGTTATCGGATGGTTTGAAGGGGATGACCTTAGACTATAAAATTTCTTCCTAGGAGCACTCATTTTAGAATCATTTACGATTTCATTTCATTTGGGGCTGTGGTTTCGTGGAGAAGGGGGAGGGGTAAGGAGACAGCATCCTCTTCCTCCTCCCCGGCCCCCTCACTGTGCACACAGGAGCCACTTGAACATATGTCTCCACTGAAGAGCAGAAGACTGGAGAACCAGATGCCAGAATGCCTTCAGAATCTGAGAGCCTGCAGTGTGGCGGTGCTATCAGCAGGCAGGACTTGCCAGGGACGCACATCTGAGTGAGGGGCTGCCAAGGTGACCAGATCCATGCCAGCCCTCAGAGGCACTGAGTCCAGGCTTGTGATTCAAAACAAGCAAAATGCTTTCCTTGGGAGCAGTATATTGAGGACAGAGCTCTGCAGCATTTACAGCCAGGGAAATGCTCTGCAAGCAGTAGCTCTATAAACAGGGTACTCGGGGTGTTGTCCACCCGAGGCAGGTGGGAGGCAGGAAGGAACAACTGGGGAGGCTGTAGAGTGACCTGTTTTCATGGGCTGCTGACTTTCTTTCACTGTACCTGCCTGCAGTCACCTTGTCCCTGCATTAGGAGACCATGGGATCTTACTGTGAGGTCCTCTTGTCCCTCCCTGCACATCGGGTAAGAGGAATGGAAGGTGTCCAGAGAAAGGTGACAGGAAGGAATAGAGCGAATAATGACGGGTCCCTACTCACAGGTCTACTCTTGAGCTTGGTGCTTTACAGATGCATCAGCTCAATGCAACTTACAGCAAACCTCTTTGCAGGCAGCAAAGTTGGGAGTCGAGCATGATGAAAAATCTGGTCAAGGTGACCTAACTTGCAAGAGGCCAGTCTGGGCTCAGAAGAGAAACCTGTCCCACTCTTTTGCCTTAGTCTTCTGCCTGGTGTTTTTGGTGAGAGCAGAACAATATCCACAAGGCAAGGTTCACCCTTTGGGGACTGTTTGGCTGAAAAAGGGCCTGGCTCAGTTCTGTCCTTTTCAGGGTTATTTCATCTTCCGAGTTTCTAAATGGAGATTGTATTTAAGAAAAATATGTTGCATTAAAAAAAAAAAAAATCTACGTCTGAGCTGACTCCCACTGAAAGGGGTTACATTTTGCCAAAGCAACTTTTTAGGATCCAGACTTCAAATCACTCGTTTCCCTCTTCCTTCTGTGAAATGAAAATATCATTCTTAGAAGCTGGTCTCAACCTCCCTGCAATTCACAGCAATTTCGTTAATAAATTAACGGAGCTGTCACAGTTGTACAAATGCAGAATCATTTTGGAAATGGTCCCGTTTAAAATCATGCAATCTCCAAAAATCTACTGCAGCATTTTATAATTCCTTCAGGCCACCTCGGGTCTCCTTTACACTTGCAGTCGTGCCCCTTTCAATTTGCATTTAAAAGACAGTAAATTGCAGGGTTCATAAACATTTTTAGAGTGATTTATTGAAGAGTGGAATGTCACTGCTGTTCTTCACACTTTACCAGTCCTGAGAATCAAACGCTGGCTGTGTATGTAATCTTGCTGTCCCCATCAACCACATAAGAACCAGCCAGTTTGCAGTTTTTTCTTTTTCTTTTTTCATTTCCTCCTCCTGCTCCCCCTTTTCCTTCTTGGTTTCTGTTTTATTTTGTTGTTTGTTTTTAAGACAGTAGCAACCATATTTATTTTCCAGTTAGAAGAAAGTCCAGTTTTTAGCCACCAAATCACAAGTTGGGCTGTGCAATTCACAAGGAACTTGGTTTTTTACTAACCAGCATAGGGAAGAAATCATTCTTTATTACAGCTGACATCCAAGTAAGGGAAGGTGCTCTTTTCATCCTCCCTCCTGTTCCCTACCCCAAGGAACACCATCCCCATCAGAAGCAGGAGGGTAAATGGAAGCCCAGCTATGACGAAGAGAGACCTCTGCCCCCTGTTCCTGCTAAAAACTCAGGGCAAGGATTGGGCACCAGCTTTGGAATTTCTGATTTGAAAATAATGCCAGTCCAAGAGGAGCCAAGGTCGGAACACACATGTGCTACTTCCCAGCCCACTCAGTCACAAAAGGAGGTGCAGAGCCAAGACAAACTGTTTATCTAAGGGCACAGTGAACTAACTCCTTGGCATCCTTCAGCCTTTTCACAGGGGCACTGGCAACCCTTTCTGACTACATCGTGCATAAATAAAGGAACAGGAGAAAGGCTGAGAGGAAAAAGAAGAAAAGAAAGAAAAAAAGAACTAAAGAAAAAAATCCTGCACCTCGTTTGCCCTTCCCATGTCCAGAAGGGAGTATTTCTTTCCACCTTTTTCACATTATAATAATGGCTTCACAGCTTCTGAAAGGAGCCCTAGTGCAACAGCAAATGGTGCATGACACGGTGAAACCCTAGTCTTTGTCACACCAGCTCCGCTCCAAAGAAAGTCCTTCTCTGCCTTCCTCTCCCTGCCATTAACTGAGATGAAATGAGTTTTTTCCCCCTTTTGATTCCACCCCCCACTGTCTATTACAGTGTGACGTGATTGGGCTTCCTAGCCCATTATTTCATAGAGGATTCTTTTATTCTGATTTGGGAGTTCGAGCCTGCAAGGTTATCTCTACACAAAGCAAGGCCTCAGTCCTCACATTCGTTTCTGAAATCTGATCTCACTGATAAGAACAAGAGCGTTTGCTTTGCTTTGTCAGATAACTCGCTCAGTGCCGGAGTCATAATTTTTGTGACTTCAGTCAGGGCCCCCTGTTAAAATTTGACAACTGATAAAAATGCAAGTATATAAATAACCTTTGTATCCAAAGTGTCATCCTATCTCCTTCTTCAGAAAGCACATTTAGTTGTTTCACGCGCGGGACCTCCGCATCTTCAGATGTCTGTTTCCTCCTGTGCATTTTTTAATGATCTGTTTTTAAAACTGTGCTGCTACTCCAATGATGCCACTTTTCAGCACACGGAGGGGAAAGTCGGGGTGGTGCCTGAAGAAGGAATCAACACGATGCAGTTGGTCTGAAAGGAGTTGTGATCAGTCTCCCTCCAACGCTGGCCCTATGTTGATAGATGCCATTTTCCAATTGCAATAAGTACATGAATCACAGCCTGAGGTGGTCAGCTGTCAAAGGACACCTAGGACCAGGGTGTGGGGCACTCCCAGGATGGCATCCTGGGGCTCTGAGGCCAGGCTGAGCTGTCAGCTTGCCCAGGGAACAATGCTGCACTGTCCCCACGTGGGATTCAATCAGATGGGCCATCAATAATGCCTGTACCCAGCAGACTCAAAAGCAAGAGCAGAGGCCAGACTGCTCTGTTGCGGACAGCAGGTTTCTTACGCCCTCAGAGCAGCCTCCCGAAAAGCCACTGTGGGCCACAGAGGCTGGCGAGCGTGTTATATAAATATTAGCAGGAGGCAGATTTCTGGAGCCCCTGTGTGCCTTTTTCCCCCGGTGGCAGCCACACAAAGCCGCCTGTGACAAAACGAAGAGACAGCCACGGGCTCCCTCATGAGCCACATGCCAAGCCGTGCAGCCCAAGGTCCTGTCCCTGTCCCTGTTCAGGGCCTGTACACCCAGGCCTGCAGCTGATAACACTGTAATAGTCCTCCTTTGAGGACGGAGGCTCCTGCGTGCTGATTAGTCATTTATCACACCTGGCAGCACTGCTGAACTATAATTACTCTTCTCTTATCCTGCCGCACTGTCATGTCCAAGAGGAGAGGCGAGGCAGAGTCCCCAGTTAATGACACATTACCCTCTTGACAAGCACTTAAAGGTTTTATTGTAAATATTCAAGATATAAAACATCCGAGATTCCCTTTTTAATTATAAAAAGCAATTTCAGGGCCTCCTTTGGCCAACCCACCCCCAGCCACCCCTAAATAGTAAAGTTTCCCCGCCCTTATCCTCTGCTTACCAGGAGCACACTGATTCCCCTTTGTCCCAGAAACTCACT